TGTTACACTGCCTTCGCTTTCAATTTTATAATACTTCCAAACTCCTGACATTTTCTCTGTCCCGACCCTCGAGGCACCAGCTGAACGTAGCCTTTCGTTAGCTTACTGCTACTATTAGACACTGCGCCCACTCTGTTGCCAGATTTGAGAGAAATAAGCAACCAGGTCTATGAAAACAAGCCCAAAAGAAGCAACACATACATGATGTTGTGTCATTTTAAACCAAAACTAAGGCCTCAGGATGACTTTAAGACGTGAACATGGTCATTTTTGTTTTGTAACATTAAATAAAATACAAATATTTTATAAAAAAAAAAAAAATTCCCAATCCCCGATTTTTTTCTCCCGATTCCGATCTTTTGAAAATCACGTGATCGGCTCCGATCCCCGATCACGTGATCGGATCGGGACATCTCTAAAACAGATCACCCATTCTAGCCATGCCTCATATCCCTCTATTTCACTTCCTGTTTCAAAAGTGCTGATTTGGGGTATAAAGCTTTAAAAAAAAAAAATTGATAAAGCATAAAAAAGGAGGGGTCTGAGCTCATGCGGGACCCGGCAGCTACTGTCTAAACTAAATGCTGCCGTGATGAAACGCCATATCATGGATTATCAAGGATTATTTCTGAAACATTATGGAGCTCAAAGGCTTTCTCTCTTGCCGGTTATACCACAAGGTGAGTTCCTTTTTATATCCAGCTTCTTCACACACGTGCTCTCCAGTACAGGTTAGCTCTGAGTGTTAGCGATGCTAATGTAAACATGCACCGACAATATTACGTCCAAAACAGTCGGGCATTGTTTCTGATAGCAACGTTTCTGATAGGGCCGTGGGTCCACATTTCCGATATCACGTCATATCGGACGCAAATCTGGATCAGCTCCATTGTACCCCCGTTTTTAGAGATTTGGGTCAGTTCCCTGACACACCGGGGACACATATTTATGTATAAAAGACATCAAAAAGTGCATTTTGCATGATAGGTCCCCTTTAAAGAGGCCTTTTGGGGTTTTACCTCTCCTGTGGTGTTCTATATAGGCTTTTGTGCATGTCAATGGTTTACAAAGGCCTGCCTGAACCACCTCCATTGGACTCCTTTGTTTACTTCCTGAACTCAGTGACATCACTATTTAACACTCGCGCTTCTATTGGCTAGTGCTCCAACACATTGTACGTGATAGGCTAAGGGGTGGGACATCTCTAAACAGTTGACCAATCACAACAGAGCCGGCCAGCTAACCAATCAGAGCAGACTGGGCTCAGGTTTCAGACAGAGGGTGAAAAAAGGTGCTGCAGCACAGGCAGTAGGAGAACAATAAAGAGCTTTTTGAACATTAAAGCATGTGAACATGTCACGTTGGAGACACTACATACTGATATACACCTGAACATGAGCAGAACATGGCCCTTTAACTCGAAAAATTCAACCAATGTAGAAGTGCTTAGTGATGTTGCTAATGTTCGTTAAGTCTTCAGAGTTTTATCCAGTCTTAATAATAAACTAGATCTGTTTTAGTCTTTGGAAACGTGTATAGACAGAGGGGAAGAGATAAGGAGGCAAAAATGTAAGGAAGACGCACATTCAGAGGAATGAACAGAAAAACTTGGTTATTGATGATGTTTGACAGAAACACTTCCCTGCTGATTAACTCTGAAACAGATGTGGATGATGTGATTTCTATAGATCAGGTTAAACACTGTGAAACACGCCAGCTGTACAATCATGTTCACTGAGTCAACACACCTGAGTGTGTGTGTGTGTCTTGTGAATGGAGCAATCAGCAGCACACACCTGGGACACACCTGGCAGGCGGAAAAAATACCTGAGAGGCTGTTTTAAGTGACGGGGGGACGGGGGGGGGGGGCGTGCTGTGTTTGTTCAGAAAGTGACTCAAGAGACAGAAAAGAAAGAGGGAAGAAAGAGAAAAAAACTCCTTTGGAAAAATGGGAATGTGTTTTGGAAAGTGAAGACTTATTGAAAGACAGGCATGTAAAGAGGAAGGGTAGAATGTAGATATACTGTAAGAGTAAACAGAAAAACAAAGTTGTAAATGGTTACAAATGAGGGAGGATAAAAGGAAAGAAATGAGATTCTTTGGAAACTAAAGGCAGCTAGAAAAGTGAGGGCTAAGCTAAGAAGAGATAAGAAGGAAGGAAACAACAGAGAGAAAGGGAAAGAAAAGTGGGAAGAAGGGAAACAGAAATTGAAAGTCAAGAAAGAGATTGATATGTGACGATAAAGATAAATATGAGACAGGAAGAAAAGAAGAAGGAAAAGTGACGACATTATAAAAAGCGTATTATTAGTCTCTCTTAAAAAACAAACAAGTAGAAAAACTCCTACTTCATTGGAGAAATAAACTATATTAAAACAGTTAAACACATTTCTAAAGCCTGTTGTATCAGCTGCATTTAGGGTTAGGGTTAGGGGGTTAGGGTTAGTCATAAACCAAGTCAGCATTAAATGCAAGTCAGTACATTTTTTCCGCCAGCAGTGCAACAAAGTGGTTATAAGACGATCACAAAGCACAGCTACACATATTTTAAGCCTTGTTTCTTGTTGAGTTGAGTTTAGTTATTATATTTTTACTGCAGGAAATCAACACATTTAACTGTTTACTCTTTGTTTGTGTTGTGGGTCTTGTATTGTGATGGATAATGTGAACACAGATCATTGAAGCAGCCTGTTTGCCAGAGGATAATGTAATGTATATGAATGTTGGAGCTTTTCCCAGAATCACTTGCAGCTCCTGATTTGTTTACAGGCTGTGGTTTTGGTTTTGTAATTGGCCGCTGTGACCCTGACTCAGCCAGAATGCAAACATATGACCATGTGACACAATTATTAAAATAGCATCAAGCCAACGCAAAATATATCCTTTAAATCACATAAAGTTCTTTATATGCTTAATTCATGGTCGTTAAAGGAGCTCTACTCAATGTGTAGATCCTTCATACAAAACCATGCTTTTATTGTGAAGTTTAACATTGTTTCCTTCACAATAAAAGTCCAACTTTTACTTTCCTGCTCGAGTTCAGACAGAAGAAAACCAGCCCCAGGATAATCAGAGTCTGCGAAGACATGACACACACACACACGCACGCACGCACGCACGCACACACACACACACAGTTGAAGCTTTATTTTCGTGCAGTGAGCAGACAGCCTGCAGTCAGTAGGATTACCTATCCATTCATACACACATTAACTACAATCACCAGGAGGCCAGGTGTGTGTGAGTTTAAGTGTGTGAGTGTGTGTGTGTGTGTGTGTGTGTGTGTGTCAGTCACTATTGAGCCCCTCTGTTGCCTACACACTGATCGTAAAAGAGATTTACGTACTCTAATGACACCACACACACACACACACACACACACACACACACACACACACACACACACACACACACACACACACACACACACACACACACACTCAAATTTGACTCAAATTTCTTCAATATTTTTTGTCATGTTTCATCTTTTTAAAGGTTCCAGTCTGCTCATTTTCAGGTTCATATTAGTATTTAGGATTAAGCCTATCACGTACAATGTGTTGGATCGCTAGCCAATAAAAGCGAGAGTGTTATAGTGATGTCATTATGTTCCTGAAGTAAACAAAGTAGTCCAATGGAGGCTTTTCAGGCAGGGAAGGGAGTGTGTAGGGAGGGAACACAGGGATGTTAGCCTTTTTCAAACCATTTACATGCACACAAAGCTTTATAACACACTAGAGGAAAGGGAAACCCCCAAACAGCACAGTAGGCCTTCTTCTCTTTAAAACCTCCCCTCCTGCCTTCCTCACAGTCTCTCAAACCTTATCTGTCCATCTAAATTCTCACTTAACAACAGAGTGGAAACATCATCTAGAAAACGTGTGTAAATAAAGATTAGGAGTCACCAACACCAGCGGGTTGTTTCCTGTCCTCTGAAAAAGGACTGTACAACTCTTTTCTGAACGTTTTCACACGTTAAAGTCCCTTCACACCCTGCTGGTGATCAAACTATCGATCTTTAAAGCCCCTGACACACCAACCCGATTTTGGGAGTCAGAGGCCGTCAGAGGCAGTCGGGCATTCGCGGCGCCCTACTCAGGTTGGTGTGTCCCGCACCGTCGTCTCTTTACGGCACATTTTCACACCTCCCGCGGCCGATTCAACATGGAGGGAGGCCAAAGAAAGTCGGGACAAAGAAATCACTCTGATTGGCTGTTCAGCTTTAGCGAATCAGTGCATGAGAAGCGAAGCGGAAGTGAGGGACCAAAAGAAACGATTAAGAAGGCACACACAGACAGTTAATCTTTTTCATTTTCATCTCACCCGGACGCAAGAGTTTCTTTTTTATGTTTACATGTTTTCGATCGACGAGAGAGAGTGAAAATGGAACCCAGACGCTATTTGTTGTTTGTTTATATCACGCAGCCTGTTCTCCTTCTCTCGGTGTATCGTCTGTCTTCCGGTTGTTGCCTCTTTTGAATGACGAATACACACTAACGCTGCCTGCTGGTAAGGACAGTTATTGCCACTCGTCAACTGAAGTCTTTGCGGTGTGTTCGTAGGCGGGCGGCGTAGCCGACGCAGGCGACGTAGCGGACGTAAAAGTCGGGACGCCTTCGGTACGCGTTCTTTGGTCTCAGGTTGGTGTGTAGCGGCCTTAAGGTTTAAAGATCGGTTTAAGATCAGTTTTGTGAATGTTTCCTGCAGACTGCATCACTGTCAGCTCCTCCTTATAATGTGGATTTCATATATTTTTTCATTCAGTGTTTTCTTTTGTGTTTTATACATCTTTTGGCATTTTTTATCCTTTTCTCTCCTTGTTGTGTTTTTCCTCTGAGACAAAGGTCACAGAGGAAACGTGACGAATACATACACTTTAGAAATGTTTTTAACGTTGGTAATATGGTGTTTTAAAAAAAATGAATTATCTCTATAATAATATGGGTTTTTAAGTGGAATCACCTAACAGACTTTTCTTCTTCTGTGGTTTTTCTCTGCAGGTTGGTAGATGACCGCTGTGTGGTCGAACCGGCTGCTGGAGATCTTGAGAATCCTCCAAAGAAATTCAGAGGTGTGTGTGTGTGTGTGTGTGTCACTTTATAGTTGACAAACACAGCAGGTCATACATGAGTTACGTTAACTTTGTGTTTGTCAGGTGCGTCAGTAGGACATGTCACAACTGATCTCCTCATAGAGAGCTTCCTTTTATGCAACCTGTTTCTATTTAGTGATGTCGAAATATCCCTAACAGTTTTATTATTGGGGCCAAGTCTAAACAGAAAACAGTAGTTGAATCATCATTCACCCGTTCAATGACAACTGAAACCACATAACAAACTGATTATTTTTCTTTTCCAATCTTAAAAAAACACATCCAAAACACAACACACTCCCCTCCTTCCCAACATAATTGTTTTAATGTCTTTTTTTATCATCATCAGGAGAAATGATCTCATTGCACTTTCATTTCAAAGCAGGTCTAGACCCTTCTCTTTATACCACAAATAATAAAATGCAATATATAATGTGCATCCATTCGTGAAGAGAAACAGGAGCAGACCTGGTTTTTGACGCCGATCGATCTAGTTAGTAACATGCATGTTTGGGAGATGAGTGCATATAGAGATAAAGAGAATTATAATATTAGAGGTGAAAGTCCCAAGACAGTCTAATCCTATAGCAGCAAAACTAAGGAACTTGTTCTATTAAATCCTGAGCCAGCCCTAACTATAAGCTTTATCAAGGTTGACACTCTAAAAGTGATAGTGTGCTTGATGGAGCTGACACAAGATGATGCCTAAATGAAACATAGTGTCCTGCTTTTAAACTATTGAAATGGAAAATATTTACGTTGATTTTGAATTCTTCGGTGAGGGAAATGGAGGACATGTTGTCTGAAGAATTGTATTTATTCGTTTTAAGTCTTAAAACATGAACAAATAGCGACAATTGATGTCCTCAGTTCCAAATGTGATATACGCCGTCCTCACCATGAGATCACACGTCGGCCTGATTCTGGTCCTGGGTCAGGTCTCTTTATAAGAACCATGAAAACCTCCAGAGTGCTGAATGAAATATAAATGATGTGTGTGAGTGATCTAAGTCCAGCTGCTATCATTAGACACACACACACACACACACACACACACACACACACACACACACACACACACACACACACACACACACACACACACACACACACACACACACACACACACACACACACACACACACACACACACACACACACATACACATACACATACACATACACACACCATCTGCGAGCAGTTGAACTAGTTTACATATAGATCAGTCACAGCTCAACTCACACATTTTTGGAACTTTTGGCGGGTACTTACATTTAAAAGTATCAAGTTAAAAATCAATTAAATACAAATAAGTCATAATTAAATATGAACTGTAAATTGACAAAATGTGTATGTGGTGTGTGTGTGTGTGTGTGTGTGTGTGTGTGTGTGTGTGTGTGTGTGTGTGTGTGTGTGTGTGTGTGTGTGTGTGTGTGTGTGTGTTCGAGCGAGGGTTGAAAGCTCATTTCCTTATGTCAATATGACTTTCAAACTAAATGTCCATTTAGATTATCACAATACATACAATTGATTACACTCAGTCAAAGTATGTTTGCCACACACAAACATACACACACGCACGCACACACACACACACACACACACACACACACACACACACACACACACACACACACACACACACACACACACACACACACACACACACACACACACACACACACACACACACACACACACACACACACAGCAACAGTTTTAAGGTACAGGATCTGTAGAAGGAGAGTCAATATGTACGTCCTGTCACTCAGCTTTATTTAGGTGTCTCAATATTGTCCGCTTTATGTCCTATGATGCCTTTTGTTATCTATTTTTTAAGATAAGACATTAGATGAGATTGACAAAAATAATAATAATTATAATGCTATTTAATTAACTGTGAGGTAATGCAGAGCTGAATCAGGAAAACAATGTTTTATTTATAATATTGGATGATCATTTATGTTGCTTAATCTGGATACATGTTGGTGATTTCTTGACTTTCCCTCACACCACCAACAGGTCAGTTTTTTAATCAGTTCCTCCAGGAGTCAGCTCTCAGACAGAACGACCATATTTGGTCGTCGGGCAGAAAATATAAATGTGACTGAAACGCTCTCTGAGACTTACTGTCAGACGCTTCAGCGGTTTAAAGATATGAAACCAAAAACAACCAATTAGCTTCAGGCGCTGCTCCACCGACCAATCAGCACTCTGGAACTAATCACCCACACCAAGAATGTAGAATAAATAGTGTTCAAAATGAAAATGAAAGTATTTCATAGTTCACATTTAAGCATTAAAATATCTAAACTGACTAGACCTATGTGACATATTTTGTTGAGTTGTGTACTTACATTATCCCACAAACTTCAAAGATTAAATCTGTTATTATAATCAAGGTAATATCCCAATTGACATGTGTCAGTGTTTAAGCTGTTATAAATTGACCTATTACCCATATTTAAGGCACATTTTTTACTTTAACTTTTAAGGTTTTGGTGTTTTTAACTCAGATGAAGGATTTTAGTGATTGGATTTCTGGATCTTAAGTTGTCAGAGAAAGAAGTCGAGCAAACATTAGCAAGTACCACACCCCATAGAAGAAGCACACATTTCAACATGAAACGGCTTTATTCAGTGTTTCTCTCAGTTTGAATTGCCTTGTTTGTTTATTATTGAGAGTAAGACACCTCTGTGGATAATTCGGCTCATATTTAAGACGTGCTGAACAATGAACACTGAAGGAATCTTAACAGAAATGGTGATGAAGGCAATGACTCCCATCATCCAGCGACACTTCAAATTGGCACCAAACTACAGATTTTATTACTGTTTTGACTCCTTGTGGCAGAAAGGGTTAGGGGTAGGTTTAGATATTACATAATGTGCATTTGACTTTAAATATAAATAAGATAAGATAAGATAAGATAGTACTTTATTGATCCCAAATTGGGAAATTGTTTTTGTTACAGCAGCATAATAGACAAGGCATTTCTTTTTTTTTAAATAATAAAACCTAAAGGAATTCTTAATTTTTCAAATTATTTTCTGTGACGTGTCAAAGAAATTGAGACTGAATGATTTTTCAGTGCTTTCAGGGTTGAATTGAACTGTATTTAAATATATATTTTCTATCATATTTGAATATTATCTGTGTTTTTTATTATTTGTGTCCCGTGTTTCTTCAGACTGCCTGTTCAAGGTTTGTCCCATGAGTCGATACTCGGCTCAGAAACAGTTCTGGAAAGCCAAACAAGCCAAACATGAGAAGGACAAGATCGCTGACGTGGTGCTGCTGCAGAAACTACAGGTAACACACACATCTCTGCTCAAACACACATCTCTGCTCAAACACACATCTGCTCACACACACTTCTGCTCACACACATTTGCTCACACACACTTCTGCTCACACACATTTGCTCACACACACTTCTGCTCACACACACTTCTGCTCACACACACTTCTGCTCACACACACTTCTGCTCACACACACTTCTGCTCACACACACTTCTGCTCACACACAGCTCTGCTCACACAGATAGACGTTTATTATCAACTGCATTTGTTCAATGCAGAGATGTCTTTTATTCTTTGATTCACGGTTCTCTCTTTACATTGATGATTCAAATGATCAAGGCAAAGCTTCATTTATACAGAAAAGTGCTTTAAATAGGTAGAAAAAGCAGAAATACTATTGCCAAAAAATACATAATAATCATAATCATAATAACAACACTTCAATAAAATCAATACAATTAAAGAATATATATATTTTTGGATAAAATAAAATACATATTTTCATGTAGAAATGACCCAACTACAAAACTCACTTTGAAGCAAAGAAACCACTTTTTGATGTTTCTGTTACGATGCTCTTTAGCTGAATGTTAGTTGACTAAACTAATTTGAAACCTGACGCTGGTAAAACCTCCTCTACTTCCACTAGGAGACAGGGTTTAAATATCAGACGATGAGCAGCACACTCACTTTCTATTTACCTGACTGTGTGGAAAAGTATTTGGTCAAGCATGGAAGAAGATTATTTATTTTGCATTCTGTGAACGCTGTGGAATAGTCAAGAATAAAGCTGGACATTTATCATTGGTGCTAGCGCTAGTCATTTGATTTATTATCTACTTTTATTCCCAACAACTGTATTTTAACTTTGGAAATGTATGTTTTCTTCAGATTTGGACATTTTCTTTCTACATGTCAACTTTATCCTCCAAGTACAAAACAAGATAATGTCAATGTGTGCAAAACAAGTTGTTTACAAAGATATGTCCAACACAGAGAGCAGGATGTTATTACTATCCACTACAAATACTCTGAGTGATCATTGTTAATGTTTGGTTGCATCGCAGCATATAAAGACATTCACAAACAGATGTTACTTTATTCTGTGTGTGTGTGTGTGTCTGTGTGTGTGTGTGTGTGTGTGTTTTGCAGCATGCGTCCAACCTGGAGCAGAAGCAGAACGAGACAGAAAACAAGAAAGTCCACGGAGACGTTGTCAAATATGGAACAGTCATGCAGGTAAAGTGCTCATAAGTTCCAACAAAAAGAGGTTACTTATTAACATTAACATGAAACTGGAGCGCTGTTGAGTTCCTGCACTGGAAGTGAGGCTGATCGGCTCCACAGGAAACATGTGAAGGTTACTGATTGTCTCAGAGTGTTTGAAATAACAGAGATATGACATCAGAGATAAGACTGTATACAATAAAAGTTCAGAGTCATGGATCACTGAATACAGTATCCAGGAATCTGGTCTAGACTGCTTCATATCTATAATAATAATAATAATGGGTTCCATTTATAAAGCACTTCATATTCGAATTCAAATCCCGAAGTGCTACAAGCAGTGAGCATGAACAGTATAAATAGACATGACACAACACGGTAGAATTAATAAAAAGCAATAATAAAAAAAATAAAAGGGTGGTAAAAGGGTCTAGGCAAAGGCTCTTTTGAAGAGATGGGTTTTGAGGCCTTTTTTAAAAGCCTCCACGGTCTGTGGTGCTCTCATGTGGTCGGGGAGAGCATTCCACAGACTGGGAGCAGCCGAGCAGAAGGCCCGGTCTCCCATAGTACGGAGCTTAGTCCTGGGGGGTTTGAGCAGGTTGGAGTTGCTGGAGCGGGTGGTCCGCAAGGAGGTATGGGTGGTGAGGAGTTCCTTGAGGTAGGGAGGGGCAGTTCCATGGACACAATGGTGGGTGAGGACGGAGACCTTGAATTCGATCCTCAGTTCCACGGGTAGCCAGTGTAGTGCTTTAAGGATGGGGATATCTGTTTTAATTATAATCATTCAAATCAAACGACTAGAAATATATTGATTTATAAAAAAACACAAAAAATAAGAATAATGTAAGGAGATGTAGAATAGCACAAAACAACTACAATAAGACACAACATAACTACAGAAATGCAAAAACACCTACAGAAAATGTTAACGTAGGAACACAAAATAACTGTAGAGAGAAGCAGAAAATTCATGGAGGCGCAAAGGAAACAAGAAAAGACTCAAAAGGACTAAACAAATGCAAAATTCAGAGCAAAAAGACCAAAATGTACCACAAAAACACACAGAAATGTGTACAGAAAATGCATAATTCGCCTACTAAACGAACAAAACATATACAATGATGAAAAACCTACAAAACAAGCATGATGGCAAAGATTGTGTCTGTTCTGTTAAACACAAAACACTCTGTATGATGTATTCCTATGAAGGAGGCGCTCTTTAACATGTTGTGTTCATTGTCTCATAATTAGATAACTGGAAATTAAGCAATGTTCCCTTTTCTTTGAATATAGTTTTCTTACAGTCCATCTTAATTCACTACAAACAGCCAAAGTTATTTCCAGTATGTTCCTCAAGCATCATCTCATTTCACTCTGGGTGAATTCATAAAATAGAGTCAAAACACATAGTACAACACGTAGTAAGCATGCATTTTACACTACCAAAAGTGTGTCTTAAAGTGAACAGTTCAGTAAACATCACTCTACTGTTACAGCTGGTGGAGATGGAGGTCATTTTAAAGGCTTTTTGGGTTGGTTTGATCCAAAACAGAACTATATTTTATGACTTGGACATCACTTTAGGAAAATGTTGTGTTTGTCAGGAACTCTTTTCAGCAGCAGGTGATTCCCCATCTCTTATATTTCTCCAGGTTTATACATTTAACTAACTGAATTCATTCATAAAATAAAGTCACATAGCTTCTACTGTAGATTAGCATATCTATAGAAACTGAATGAACATACAACAACAATTCAAAGTAAACCATCCTATAATGTTGAAGCTGGAGGAGATGGAGCTGGTTGTAAATGCTTTCCATGCTTTTGGGAAGTTCAATTACCTCAGAGTTGAACTTAATTACAGTCCTTTAGGTAATGTCAGTTTGTTGGCATTGACAACCAGGTGATTCACACCACTCCCTTCCCCTCGCCATGGCAACATCTGTCCATTTGACTTTGCCGATACATGTGAGATCATTTACAACACACACACACACACACACACACAAACACAAACACACACACACACACAACCACACACACACACACACACACACACAGACACAGACACAGACACACAGACACAGACACATACACACACACACACTGAAACACACAAGACATTACAGTGAGTATTTTCATTCCTTTAATTTTAAAGACTGATTACATGTCTAAATCTCTCTTTCTGAAGCATTTTACATGTTTGGCATTCTTTAAACAAACACACACACACACACACACACACACACACACACACACACACATACACACATACACACATACACACATACACACATACACACACACACACACACACACACACACACACACACACACACACACACACACACACACACACACACACACACACACATAAGCAATTACTTTATGACAGGGTTGTGCTGTGAATCGATATATTGCTATCTCTTAGTCAGTGTCAATATTGACCCCGCTTTCACGCTGTAGATCTGCCATCATCACACACACACACACACACACACACACACACACACACACACACACACACACAATCTGGGTGTGGTTGCTGTTGAAAGAAACTCTGTCAGATCACGATAAAGATTCCTGTAGGAGAAAGGTGTGTGTGTGGTGTGTGGTGTGTGTATGTCAAAGGTGTGGAGGTGGTGACACGGATCACTTCATTATTCTACAGTAGAAATAATAACTAAACTGCACCTTCCTCATGTTTATACACACACACTTCAGTTTAGACAAAGAGGCCATTGTTACTGTAAGTGTGTTACAGTTTTAAAATCTCATGAGCAGAACCTGACGACATGTTAGTGCCTCTAAACTGTCTGATTTCATTATAGAAATAAGTGAAACAAGTAGAAAGTAATGAAGCAGCTGCAGAATGACTGTAGTAAATAGTATCAGTGGAAACACTCACATCTGGTTCGAGTCTGAACGTGAGACTGAGGAGAAATATATGATATCACTGCACATTATCGCTGCCTCCATAAACATTCATCTGTTTGCATCTAGCAATTTATGTATCTATAAATCATATTCAATGTACTTGTATATAGACTCTTCTTGCACTATTTCATTTCTATTGTTATTTCTTTCACTAGTTTTATCTGTTTTATTTGTTTTATGTTGCATTGTTGGAGGAGCCTGAGAGTTCAGTTTTTCATTCCCATATCTACACTGAAGCTACTGTGCACATGACAATACAGCCTTGAATCTTGAATCTTGAATCATACTGAAGTTTTATTTATTTGTTTATTCCACACATGGCAGTTCTATTTTTCAAATAACTTCCTATCCAGTTCTGAGCCATTCCTCTTATTCCATAAGTGTGCAATTTAGATATGAGGATGTTATGATCTATGGTATCAAAGGCTTTTTTTTTCAATAAATACCCATATTGTATATTTCTTACTTTCCAATGCTGATGTAATTTCTTCCATTATTTCCATTAATGCTATGTAGATCGGTTGCTCCTAAAGCCATACTGACTCTCACTCAGTCATTTATTCTTATCAATAAAATTATCACATTTTTGTAAGAACAATTTTTCAAGTATGTATCTGACTCTCTCTGTCTCTCTGTCTCTC